CCCCACACCCACACCCACACGTACACCCACCCACACCCACACCCACACCCTAGTGTTCATTTTCGAAAATATATTCTATGACAAGTATGCGATGACATACACAAAGAATCTAATTCGAGCATGTTTGTTTATTTAATTAGTAAGTTTTTGCTGATGCTATGAAAGTGATGATCAATGAAAAAATGCAGAGCATTGATGGATAACTTATCTAAAAACAAAGACAAATTATTTAGCGTATGAAGTTTTGGATAAAACAGAGTCTTCATCATACTGATCCAGCCTTTGACGAGAGAACAGAAGCCTGTAATTCTTTTTGGGTTGCACTTTGAAACGCACTCAGTCCACGATATTGTTGATTACCCCAATTAAAAATTAGATTGCTTTCACTTGCATTCGGTCCGTTCGGATAATACAATTGTCGATTGAATACATTATTCAAACCACCTAGCTGATCTACAGTTAGAATAATATTTTTTGTGTTCGGTTTGATTGCATTGGAATAGACGAAATTATTGGATGCAAAAGAAACGACAATTTCTCCAGTTCCAGTATTTTTGACATCGTTATTTTCCAGTCGATTATTTTCGAATGTACTATTGATGACACGTCCTCGTCTGGAACAAAACAAGAAATTTCTCTCTTTCAGATTATAAATTCGATCGAAACATTTACTCGGAATCGTATCCACCAAAGAGAAGACCGGCTTTGTCATTATTGTAAATGTAGTTTTCATGAACAACCATTCCTGACGCTATTCGACCTTGATTTTCAGCACCGATTTCTATACCAGCATCCGAATTATAAACTTCATTCTTTCCTATATTTATATCAGATCCTCCATCTACGTAAATACCAGCTGCACTAGAATCATATGAAGAATGAATGTTCCATACTGTATTATAATAACATTGACCAGAACGAGCCCCAAGAGCTCCCATGTTACTTTCTCCACCTATGCAAAAGAAAACAAATAAATCTCGTAAATTAAACTATTGCAGTTTGCTAAAAACCGTTAGAATGATAAACTACATCTCAATATTTAAAGTGATTCTAAAGTCAATTACAATTCATACCTATAAAATCGATGCCAATATTATTCATATTGTAGACGCGATTGTTAGTCACTTGAAACAATTCAATATTACCATTAAGAGTTAAAGCCTCACTCCAAGCTGGTTCACAATCATGTAATGTACAATTATCGATGATTAGTTTACTGAGACTCGTCTCTTGATTTTTGTTATAAACAGTAATTGCCATCGCTCCACCTGTCTTTCCTCCGCCAAGTATATGATGTATATGTAAATTGCGAAGCTCTGAAAAAAGAGAAGATTATTTAATTTTAATATAAAAATAAACATTAAATAACTCTGATTAGTATGTTGAGAAATCGTTTGCTACTTCTCAAATATCTATGATTTTTTAGAAATCGTATTCGAAAATTTTATGAATATTTTTTGAGTAGTACATACCAATTCGTGTTCCGTCGCCAACAATCCTGACTCCACTACATTCGCTACTATTCAAATTAGACAATTCAAGATTAATAATATTTAAATAACTTTTGTTTTCTATATAGATCAAGTTTAGTGTACCATCGGGTGATGCAACTGTAGCATTTTCACCCGAGATAATCGCTGAGTTATCTGGCATTAAACTAGTAAATGTGATTGATCCATTGAAGGAATTCCCTTGGACGAGTATTGTAACAGTTTCATAGTATGTTCCAGGACCAATGTAGACAGTAGAACCAGCCATAGCCTTACTGGCTGCCTTTTGAATAGTACGCCATGCATTGGTTTGGGTGGTCCCCGAATTGTCATCGTTACCAGATACCATAACGTAATATACTTGGTTTTCATCTGGAAATAAATATATAGAAATGTTGTTTATATTAAGCAGGCACTTATTAAAGATCAACTTTAATTTTTACCTGCTAGAGCGTAGTGAAAAATTATATAAACACAAATGGATACAAGTAGTTTTGAATTCATATTCGTCTATAAATTCACACTGTTATAATTCAAGTCTTTTTTTCTATATACTTATAGACCTTTTTCCAGTTGACTGCACAATGTATCGTGATCGGTAATTTAACAAAACATGATGAATAACGCACAGTGATTTCTCAAGGTTCGATAAAAACGACATTTACAAAAAAGTGTATGCAACTAGGCCTTGTTCCTTCTCCTTAGACCAATAAATTTATTTTCAATGATTTGCTCACATTTGTTCGCATATTCATATACTCTTATGAAAAAACCATGTGCTGACGAGACATCTGTTGAATAACAAGACACTACGAAGTAAGATTGACTCATTAGTAAAATTAAATATTGTATTCATTTGGTTTAATTATTTATTGCAGCTATCTGTTTTAATGAAATGATGACTTGTGAACATTAAAATTTCACATGACTGGTTGAGGTTACAACTAGTATGACCTTCATATTCTAAATCACATCGAAAACAATCGATTTCTGACTACTTTCTCATAAAACTTAAGTTAATTTATGGAATTGTTGAAATTGACAATTTATTCAATGATTTTCATGGCTTGTTCATGCATTAGCTAAGTTTTCCTTCGTTTTTTATATAAAAGAAAATTTTCTTTTCTTTTAGTTGATTTTCTAATAGAATATATCATTTACGTAAATATTTATTATTTCGTTGTGTTACATTAGCTGCATATAATCAAAATGAAAAATCGTCTACATTTGTTCTACTTCAACATTCAAGAGGGTGTGGGTATCTGGGTATGATTGTGGATAAAAATAAAACGATCACCAACATCTACACCCACAGCCACACACTCCACACCTACATCCACCCACACCCACACCCACATCCACACCCATACCCACATCCACATCCACACCCACGAAGGCCTACCATCTGCAGGGGTCACCAACAGAACGTCGGATATTCCTGGGAAGGTTCAATTTTTTTAGAGCCGCCCTCAAAAGCTCCATTCGTTCTTTTTATTCTTCCGGTAGGAAGAACGAGAAGAAGAAGAAGACAAGGTTTGAAAATGGAAAGACGCATGAAAGATGTCGTCGATGGAACTATAATACGCAGAGCACGATAACAACCGGTGTTTTTGATGAACACTGTAAAATTGAGTGCACGATATGTTTATCGTTATTTATACATTTCGTTTCTGTTTTTTATTTCGAATGTGTAAGAGCCAGTCCATCTAAGCCACGACCGAAGTTCCTCAATCAATATCATCAGAACTTGCTCAACTTGTGATATGTTATAGAGTGAAGAGTTTTATGACTTTTATCGCAAGCCGATTCAAAAAATATTGAACTCTCGATTTTTTATGAGCGTTTTATGAAAAGGCCTAAAAATGACCATATCTATAAACGAGGGTCCTAATGCAACGATATCTCACGAATGGCTTATCCAAATGAGCTGAAATCTTTTATTGCCATGTATCTCAATGAGTTTTATTTATCATACAATTTTCTTTCTAAAACATTGAGCCATTGGGATTTTGTGAAGCACTCAATATATGAAAAAAGGTTCATTTATGATAACTTTGGCACTTCATAACTTTTGATAGGAATGATATATGACTCTCAAATTTTTACTGTTAATAGGACACTGAGAGATGTATCTCTCTTGAAAATTTCAGCTATCCATACCATTCCATTTGTTCAGAGCAGCCCCGTGAAAAACGGAATTTTGATAAATGTGGGGACTTTCAGGATAGGCTTTCTCTCAAGAAATGGATTGTCTGGGGCGTTGGTTATTAACACTTTGAAGTTCTCTCTTTGGGCTAAAATTCTGTAAACAAATTAGCGTGGAATCTCTGAGATTGGTCCCAGGGCACTCATTGCAAAATACGAAAAATGAGCCTTTTTCTATGGGAAATCTACCTAAGTGCACTTCGAAATTTCTCCAAGGATTCTACTATGTGACATAAATTTTATCTGGTAAAAATCAGCATTTAATTCTCTATTAGCCTATATCGAAATATGCTTTGAAAATGAAAAAAAAATTTTTTACGAAAAATTCCCCTGGGGAGGAGGTGCAGGGGCTATGAGAATAAAATGTTACAGGAAGAGGCCTGGAGAGGGGTAGGGGGATTTTTCGTAAAAAAGTTTTTCTACGAGAAAGGATATTTTGATAAAGGGTAATAGAGAATTTAATGCTGATTTTTACTACATTAAATTTATATCACATACTCATTTCCTTGGAGGAAATTTGAATTGCACTCGAGTGCATTTCCCATAGAAAAAGGCTCATTTTTTCGTATTTTGCAATGAGTGCCCTGGGACCAACCTCAGAGATTCCACGCTAATTTGTTTACAGAATTGTAGCCCAAAGAGAGTACTTCAAAGTTCTAATAACCAACGCCCCAGACAATCCATTTCTTGAGAGAAAGCCTATCCTGAAAGTCCCCACATTTATCAATATTCCGTTTTTCACGGGGCTGCCCTGAACAAATGGAATGGTATGTATAGCTGAAATTTTCAAGAGAGATACATCTCTCAGTGTCCTATTAACATTAAAAATTTGAGAGTCAGGTATCATTTCTATCAAAAGTTAGGAAGTGCCAAAATTATTATAAATGGACCTTTTTTCATATATTGAGTGCTTCATAAAATCCCAATGGCTCAATATTTTAGAAAGAAAATTTTCTGGTAAATAAAACTCATTGAGATACATGGCAATAAAAGATTTCAGCTCATTTGGGTAAGCCATTCGTGAAATATCGTTGCATTAGCACCCCTATTTATATATAGGATCATTTTTAGGTCTTTTCGTAAAATGCTCATAAAAAACCGAGGGATCAATATTTTTTGAATCAGCTTGCGTCAAAAATCATAAAACTCTTCGCTCTATAACATATCTCAAATTGAGAAAAGTCTGACGACATCGATTGAGCAGGGTCTCTATGAAGTCGGTCGTGACTTATATGGACAGGCTCTTAAAATGCTTTTTCCAGGTGTTTTGGCTAGTAGTTGGTAGTAGTATACCAGAAACTCTTTTATCATCGTCTGAGAAAACGTTTGCTTCAAAAACCATTGATGAAAATCTTGTCTCCAGTCACACAAAATCCCTCGAAAACAACGCTGTTAGCTTCTAAGGAAATTCTCAAGAATTCCTATCGAGTAATTATGTAGTTCATTATAGATCGTACTCTGATATGACGAAAGCTGTAGAATAAACCCCAGTAAAGGCGTCAACAAGAACTTCAACGAATCCTCAAAGACATTGATCTTACTCCATCCAAGTAAGATTTCATCGAAGTATCTCCGAAAATCTTCGCTGAGTTCTGCTATTTTCCTTTTTTTTTTGAGAACTCTCAGTCGCTTTTGTACGGATTTCTGAAAAAACTTGCAACCTTTATTTTTTGACGACTATCCTTCAAGTGGGATATAGGAGACATATAAGTCGAAAGTAATATCCGATGATTATATCAAGAATATTAGAGCATCTTCAATGCATGTGTTGTTATTTTTTGTCAATCACAACCTGAAAGAAGTGTTGAAGTGCATAAAGGTAGCAATATTGAATCCACTCACCCTCACCCGCTCCACAGGCAGGGACAGACGGCCTCCACAGCCTTCGCAAATCATAACAGATGAGCTTCAGCTCCATCACACATCCTGATAGATGAGCTCTAGATCGAACACAGACTATGACAGACATTTTCGGTAGATAATTAAGTATCATATATTACTAACATCTCATGCGAATACATATACTTCTTCGTTTTGGAGTTCCAGAGAATTAAATACAAGATGATGAAATAATTGGTCCCAGAATAGATGGAATAAAGCAAAATGTCGTGATTAGTAGCATCGGGTGTAACATATTTCATATTTCACTCCCGTAGAAATTGTGCTAATAGCTTTACATTTATCATAGTAATTCCCAATATTCCAGTCAATGCCAAATGGATGCGGAATGGAGTGACTGTTACTGGAGGCCATGGACAGGGCAAAGCTGCCAGTCAACTCGATTGGCCTTTGGAGCTCTTTGTTGATGATGATCAAACGATGATGATCGCTGATACATACAATGATTGTATCATCCAACGGAAGATGAGTGATTCGATTGGACAAGTAGTAGCTGGTGGCAGTGGTTGAGGAAATGGAATAGATCAATTGAATTGTCCAGTCGATGTGTTGATCGACAAAGAGACCGATAGTCTCATTATCTCTGATGAATACAATCGACGAGTCGTACGATGGTCTCGCCGTAATGACACCACACAAAGAGAAATCCTCATCGACAACATCGGTTGTCATGGATTGGCCATGGATGATCAGAGANCCAGTGTGCATATTCAAATATTTTCTATGTAAAGTAAATCCTACCTATTGCTCTAATTTCATATTTGCTTTCGTGAATTTAAAATTTTGCATATTTTATCTATCGATCAATAAACTACAATAGATGTGGGTGAGTTTGGGTTCATCTTATCTTAAGTCACACCCACATCCCACATTTATGCTATAGACAACTTAGAATTTTTATCTTTGTTCATTTTAAAAATAGTGCTCACACTATTTCGTATGCTTAACAAAGCACACAAGACTGAAAGTGACGACATTATTGAAGTAAGCACTTACTTGTATTTTAATTCTGCTTTGAACAATTCTGGGCAAAAATAAAATAATCATTTTGGGGATGTGAGCGGGCATGCAGTCGAACGGAAACAAATCAGACTAACACCAATGTCCACCAGGGATGTATTTAGAGGAAGATTGGGGAAATCGACCCACTTCCTTCCCTGCCAAAAAAAAATAAACACTTCGCTATCTATTTGCATGCTTTTTGAGCTTCACAAACATCTACTCAATAATTATCTTTTACAAGAT